GGCAACTGGTTCATACTTATGACCGTTGCAGTGTTCCAAGATCACATGATTCCCTTTTACGACCTTCTGACAAGCAAAGTCCATGAGGAAGCCAGATTCGCTTAACAACCATGTTACTAATGTAGCAACTGCAGTGAGTCACTGAACAGCCGTGGCAAGAAATGTTGTAAAATAGGGCAAAATTCACTTAAAAACGGTCTTGCTTAGCAACAGAAATTTTGGGCTCACTTGCGGTCGTAAGTTGAGGGGTACCTAATTAACCAAGTAGGATGTATTAGCAAAGCAAAGGGTTTGTTTTTTTTAATAACTGCAAGGACGCAGCATTAAACTAGGAACATTTGCACTGCAAAACACAGAATGCATTAAAAAGAAACCCCTAGATTTCTCTCTAGTGGTCTACAACACAACTAGATCTCAATCAACAAGATTGAGCTAGCTATAAAGAAGAAGAAAGAAGGTCTATATTGTGCATCGTGCGTTAAGCACATGCTAGTTTGAGAGATTCTGGCCCCGGTAATCCCCTTCACCTCTGGCTCATATTAGAAGCTCCTCTGGCATTTCCCCACGAACAAGAGGAAGAACCACACACCTTGATATGAAGAAAGAAAAACCTCATGCCAGCCTTTGTCTCGGAATTCCCACCTTATTTTGCTCCCGAACGTGTGAAAAGAACACACCCACCCGAACACACAACTTATGCTGACACAACTGCCTTCTGCAGAGGCAACCCACCTCTGGCCCTTGAAAGAAAACAAATGGATCCCGTGCAGGCTGTTCATTGCAATGAGTCGACTACAACCCAAGAAAGCAAAAGCTCTCCTTCGCATATTAATGAAAGGAGGGCTCTAGGCAGCTGCCACCATCCCATAAGCAGGACGATTCTTTTAAAGATCCTGCGGGACACCTGGCCTAGTTCCTGATCAGAAGTCGCTTCTGCACGGACCCCAACTCTCTAAGCAGCAGGTGCGTAGCCACAAAAATAGCTCCATCACCCCTCAAGACAATCTAAGAAATGAACGATCAAGAGAACTGGGTATGTCTAGTCTAACAAAGGGAAGGGACTAGGAGCGACATGACAGCACTCTTCCAATATTTGAGGGGCTCCCACAAAGAAAGGGAGTGGGGGGGGGTTTCAACCTGTTTTCCAAAGCACCTGAAAGGCAGGACAAGAAGTAATGGGTGGAAGATCATTAACAAGAAATCCCATCTGGAACTAAAAGATTTCCTGATAAGGAGAACAATCAATCAGTGGAACCTCCAGAAGTCATGGCTGCTTCATCATTTGAGGCTTTTAAGAAGAAATTTGTCCAGCATGGCATAGGGTCCCTTGCCATGGGCAAGGAGTTGACCTCAAAAGTCCCTAGTTTTCTATGTTCTAAATTTAAGGATCACAATACACAGCTCTATCATGTTATTGCCATTCCTCAAAACCCGTTTTCTCCTGTCATCCAATGGCAGGGCTGGCCCCCACCTGGCTCACCCTGCACCATTAGTCAGAGTTTAATCATGGTTACATTTTATCTTCATGCAATGAAACCTTTTAAAACAATCCTTCAAGGTGGTCCCATTCTAGGTTAAGGCTGCAGAGCACAAGGGCTAAGCCAGAAGTACTGATCGCTCTGTTTAGCTAAATCCCTTCTACAAAACACTTGTTAAAGTTCTGCTACTTGGCAAATCATTCCCCCCCCCCCCAAACTTGACATCCCAATCTTTCAAATGGGTGGCAAATGCCACCCTCAGTTTCAAAGCCAGTTCTATACTTGGGCAATAGAAAACTATGATGGATAGCAGACTGTGTCTCCCCTTTGCTGTCTGCTCCCTCCTCTCTTTTGTTACCATACTGATACATTCTCACTGTTTTCTTTTCCATTGTTTATTTTACTTGTTTTGTTGACACTCTTTTCACTTCTTTGTTTTTGTTACTGTTGCAAGTTGCGTGAAGTAGCCCTACTAACAAATAAAATAATAAATAAAATATATAGGAATGGTCTACTGTCTTGCCTGAAGAAGCTCCGATGAAAAGGATTGCTTTAATACAGGTGGTAAAATTACAGCCTTTTTTTGTGTGTGTTCTGCAAAAATGACATTTAGTGGAGTATATAGCTAAAGTTAAAATTCCATATAATCATTTCCACAAGCAAGTTCAACAAATCCACAAGTGATGTACACCCAGAAGAGTCTTTCTCTCTTTTTTAAATGATCCTTCACCTCCTTCTGAACTGGTTGATCAAGGTTCAAATCATCTGAGAGACTGATAAGATCCTATTCATCCTTCTCTTTTATTGTTCAAACACTCCCAAGTATCACTTCCAGGATCTGTGTGAAAGATAGGTAGACCTACCTATTCATTTCAGTTCCTTATTGATTTGCTCACTTACCAGTCCTAATGTTCTTGTGCTTGGTTCCTAGTCAGTTTCAAGAATATTGAAACAAACTTTTAAGGAAGAAAATCCTTAAAGAGACTTACTTTAGAGAGAGAGAGATTGCCAAGTAATTCCATGCATAGGGAAACACTTACTCTTGTAATATACCATGGCACAACAGCAAAGATAAATCTGCACATATTTCGTGAGCACTTTTCTCTTGATTGTGAACAAAGCTCTAGACAATGGGTGAACCTAGCCAACACTCTGTGGGAATCATTTTAAGAAGGCCAAATGATACACAGAAGTGTAAGCTAATTTAGAAAGAAAACACAACACACTACTCCAAACACTGGAGCTTTTTAAATCTCCCTAGATAAGCAATAGAAGTGATTCATGATATAAATATACACCAAGCCAGCAACTCAAATTCAATTTATTATTGAAGGGTAAAAGCACATGAAACTTTTAGGCATTCTTCACAACAGAGAGAACCCCACATAGTATACATTCTCCATTTTCACAATAATGCAGTTTTAGAGAGAATGAAGCTGGGTGCTGTCTGCCAATTTGTGTCTTGTTTATTGGTGATCAACTGAACAAACCCCCTGATTTCCCACTAAAGAATTTGTGCAATTCTTTCAAACCATCCAGCTTTGTCAAAGATAGGATGCTCTAAGGACCATCCCTGACTGCAGAAGACACCAAAGCAGCTTTTATAGCTTGCACCCAACCACGATAGATCAGACAGCAGAAATGTTATGAATTCTCCAACAACTGTTCTAGAGGCTCATCAGTTTGATTAGCAATTAATTTGAGTGACTGACAGATAGCAATCATCTTGCAGGAAAATACCAGGGAAAGTAAAGACTGTGAGAACAAGAAGTAGTACAATGACAAACAAGAATCATCAGGAAATTTTTCTTGCATCTGCTACCACTACAACTGAGACAAGAAATATATCGTATCAATCTTCTGGTTAAGACCAAATCAGAACAATATTATGAAAAATACTTTTAGGCTTCGAATGCATGCAACTTCACAGCATAGAAGCAGCATCCTTCTCCAAGCACCTATTGATTGCAGATTTCAAAAACAGCATAGTGGTTATGTTTTTAATCCATGCAAATGAAAGATTCCAGAGCAACAACTGTTCCTTGGGCCAAGTGGACAGTTCTGAGTTTTGCTTACAGCCAGAAAAAGTTTGACAAACTACAAAATGAAATCCAGAGGTGAACTCCTACAACTTCAAAGTTGAATCTTCCAGGGAAAAACCACAAGGAAAAACAAATAACATTCATAGTACATTCTAGACAGACCAATTGGCCAACTTTAGAACAATACTTTATTTGGGCAAGTATCAATGTTCCTCCATATCTTTGAAGGATCTCAGCTACTGCATGCAATGATCACCAGATTGTAAGGTAGCCCATTCTGGTTCAGCTTTATTGAAAAGAACAACAATCCAGAATAGAAACATTACCCAAACATTTTCATTTCTTAATGGAAGGGAACCAAACCAGCCCATCGAAAATGACTAAGATATATAGCAGGATAAAAACAGTTACCAGAAATTCTTACCCATTCAGACTTTCCCATCACATCATGAATAAAAACTGAACAGAAAAAGAAAAAAAAAAAACACAAACCACACACACAAAATCCCCTCTTTTTGTCCAAACTCTCTAAAAATATTGTTGCTTGTTTCACTTAACTTTTATGTGCAGAAGAAACAAGCCAATACCAAATACAATACAACAATACCAAGCAAAGCAATTCCCTCCAATTATTCTTCATTTCTCTTCTTTCTTAAAAACCAAAAGCACATTCAGGTCAACCCAGAAAATCTCTCCAGCCTGATTCAACAGCTGCTTCTCCCAACAGCCAAAGAATTAGCCTGGTTGGGGCAATGACACCCCTGGCACCAAAACTCTGCACTGGCAACACCATTCAACCCGCTTTTAAAATGGTGGTGCATTTTCGGCAGGACTGGCGTTTAAAGGAAGTTTCGCATTCATCTCCCTGCACTCCAAACAGGTTTGCAAGCCCACGAGAGAGCTAAACCAACACACAGCTTGCCTCAGCGACCCCTCACTGTTCCCCAGCTGAAATGGAGAGCAAGGGTCAACCAGAAGGCTTGGCCTACTACATCAGCTCAGAAGAGTACACAAGTTACACCCAAGACAGTTGCCAGATGTTTAGCATGCTTTGGATCACAGATGGAGACCGCCACAGACCAAAGCCTGAAGGTCCACCTTTAATTCATCCAGATGTTGATATCAAGCCCCTCAAAAGTCCAATGAGATTGACCAGCATAAGCAAAGCGGTCCCATATATGGAGACCAACAAAGAACCCATCCCTGAAGGTCCACCTTTAAGAAATTGGTCCCAACTCCCTCAAAATGAGATGACCAGCACCAAGCAAAGCAGTACCACGAGGGAGATCAATGAAGACCAGCTCCCAGGCCTGGAGATCCACCTTCAATTCCTCCAGCTGCTGGTCCCAAAGCCCTCAAAAGTTCAACCAGACTGACCAGCACAAGCAAAGCAGTCCAGACTATGACCAAAACTCTTCCTCCCCCTCCCCCCAAACAGGACCGCCGCCACCCTGTCCAGGGGAACAGACCAACATCTTACCTCCAAGGCTTCCATGGTGGTGAAGCTGGCGATGGCAAATCCGTCAATTAAATCCTCTTCCTGGGAACTGGATTCCCGCCTCCGCCGCCTCGGAGGTCTGGCATTTCTGCCTGCGGAAGCCTGGCTCTTGGGAAGCAGACCACTCTGGCTCGTATTCTCCTTGCCAGGGCTGGTTTCCCTTTCGGAGGTCGAGGAGGGGCTTTGAAGTCTGTCCCTGCCGTTGGGGTCTCTGCGCCTCACCCGATCCCTTTGGGACCGGGATTTCCTGCTTTGTCTGATCTTGCCATCCATTTCCAAAGCCAGTTAAAAAAAACAACACACAATTCGTCTTTACTGGGATTTTTTTGTACGATCCAACAGCCTCTTTTTCTGGCTCAGAGCTGCTCCTTTCTTCTGGCTCATGAAATCCGAAGGAACCAAAGTGGGAGGGGGACGAGAAAGCTAATCCAGCAACCCTGGAGAAGAGAGCCAGGGGCGATCCAAGCTAAGGCAGGAGAAAGCCACCAAGGGGGCAATCCACATCCAGACGCAGGCAAAAACCCAAAGATAAATCCACAGTGACCTTGACAAACGGCGCCCCACTCGGGGGGGGGGGGGGGGGGGGGGGAAGAAGGGGGAAAAAACCCCGCGGGGGGGGAAAAAGGGGGGGGGGGGGGGGGAGGGGGGGAAAAAGGGGGGGGGGGCGGGGGGGGGGGGCGGGCAGGCAGGCAGAGCCAAGCTTCGCCCCCGTCCCCAAATCCGAACCAGAGCTCCTCGGAGGCACAAAAGCCGGGGCAGATCACCCTTCCCCGCTGGGCCAAAGACCCCCCCAAAAATCAATCAATCCACCGCAGATCCAGCAGGGCGAATCCAGACAAGAAGCAGCGGCGGCGGAGGAGCAGGAGAGGGGCGCCGGGGCTACACTAAACCGAAGCCCCCCCCCCTTCTTCTTTTTTTCTCCCTCTCCTCTCTCTCTGTCTCTCTGCACCCCTCGTTCCTCACCCCGCCCCGGGTTCGAATCCGGGGGGAGACCCGTGCAGGCGAGGGCGCCAAAGAGGGGGCGCCGGCCGTTCCGCCGAGGCTGGAGCTGCAACTTTGTTGCGAGGCCAAGCGCGCGTCGGGAAAGAAGGAAAGGAGGGAGAAAGGAAAGAAAGGCGGAAGGAAAGGAGGGAAGGAGAGAAGAAAGGCGGGAGGAAAGCAGGAACGAAGGCAAAAGGGAGAGCAAAGGGGACGGGCGGAAAGGAGGGAGGAAGGGCAGAAGGAAAGGAGGAAGGAAAGAAAGAAAGGCGGAAGGAAAGCAGGAACGAAGGCAAAAGGGAGAGGAAAGGGGAAGGGCTGAAAGGAGGGAGGAAGGGCAAGAAGGAAAGGAGGAAGGAAGGAAAGGACGGAAGGAAGGCGGAAGGAAAGCAGGTACGAAGGCAAAGAGGAGAGGAAAGGGGAAGGGAGGAAAGAAGGAAGGAAGGGCAAGAAGGAAAGGAGGAATGAAGGAAAGGAGGAAAGAAAGGAAGGAAGGTAGAAGGGAAGGAAGGAAGGATCGGACTGGCCTCTGCCTTGCAGCAAGCCCAGGAGCAGCAGCAGCAGCAGAAGGCAGAGCCTTCCTCGTTCTCCTCCTCCTCCTCCTCCTCCTCGGGAGCTGCGGGCGAGCGGCTGGGCCCGCCGGCCCGCTCGGCCCCTGCCCAACTTTGCCCCCGCCTCACCCGGCCCGGCGGGCTCCCCTCGCCTGGCAGGAGCCGCCTGCGACCCCCTCCTTCTCGGCCGCCCGTTGCCCGCCCCCCTCCCTCCCTCCCGCGCGCGCGCCGCCCACCCCGGCTCGGGGCGCGCCTCAGGAGGGGCCGCGCCGGCTGCGCCTCCTCATGCCGCCGCCTCAGCCGCTTCTTCTGCTCCCGCTGCCGCTCCTGCCGCCGCCGCCGCCGCCGCCGCCGCCCAGCCCTCCGCTCGGCCGCCCCCTCCCCGGTTGCCCTCCTCCTCCTCCTCCTCGCTGGCTCGCTCGCTCGGGGCTTTAGCACCGCCCGGCCGGCTGCGCATGAGCAGGGCCGGCCAGCTGCGCGTCACTCGCTCGCCGCAGCTCCGACCGCCCCGCGCGCGGCCCCGCTCCCTCCCTCCCTCCCTT